CGAGTAGGTAGGCATAGCCGCTACTCCCATATTTGACATTTTAATATTGCTTTTGAAATTTTTTACGATATTAGTTAGATATGGTACAAGTAGGCAAGCTAGCATTAAACTTTCCTGAAATAATGAAAGAGATGTTGTTTCTTTCATGATATATATCTTGATATATACAAATCAAATAAAGAAATGATGTTTATCTACTGGGATAACCCCCCAAAAAAAAAAAATAAAATAAAGTAATATAATATACTGTATTTAAGTTTATAAATATTAAAAAAAATAATTGTTTTAATTAAAGAAATTTTAACTAATATAATATTAAAACATCTTTATTTATTTATAATAATACAAACCTTGAACTGAAATAATAACTGATTTGTTATTTTTAGATTTAACAATATATATCAATATATATATATATATATTTATTTATTTATTTATTTTAATTAATTAATATTATATAAGCCTAAAATTATATTTATTTGAATATTATCTAATTGATTTGTGCATTAATTTAAGTATACTTATATATAAAATAAAGATATTTTTAAATTTCAGTTCAAATTAAACTTAATTCAAGCCAAAATCATATTAAAATGCACATTATTTTGAAACATTTATAAGCAATTTTTATAAGACTTATTTTCAAAATAATTGATTTAAAATATTTTTATTGGTTATTATTTTTTAAAAAATTGTATATTGTATTTGTAAGAAGTTAAAAAATAATTGTAAACAAGTTGACAAAATTTTTTGGCTTAATTAAAAGATTTTTTTTTTATTAAATATATTTTTTTTACAAAATTTATAAATAAAATTTTAATATCTTTTATTTTACAGTATATATATAATATTTATTTAAAAAAATGTATTTAGATTTTATTATCAAAAGACAATAATAAGATAATTTCTATTTTTGAACAAACCAAAAAAATCAATAAACATTATTCAAAATATAAAATAATTACTTTAAGAATAGAAATTAAATAAAAAATAAATAAATTGAATACTTGAATTCTGTAAAATCCAACATAAAAAAATAGTTGGATAGAATTTATTTATTACCCAATTTCAAAATTAAATCTTGTCAACTAGTCCTTAACATTATTTTTAATCCAATTTCTTAATTTCCTAGATCAAAATCAACTATACTATTTCGATATTTCAACGGTTAATTTTAGTATATGTGGGGTTTTTTTTTTCAAAAATTCTATTTGTTTATTTTAAAAAAATTTTTTTAATTGTTTTCAGGAACCACATTTATCCAATTCTTGATCATAACAACCTTTAAACTGAAAACATTGTAATTATTCTTATTTTTAAAATGATTTCATAAGTGTCTTGATCTTGGGAAAGGCATGCGATTTTTTCAATATGAGAATCCAACATGGTAGCCTCGAATTGCATGCCTATACTGTTAAAAACTTTCTGGTGGCGTAATCATATTCAGAAATGCTTGATGGTATACGTTTTAGAAAAAGGAAGTATGCAAGTAAAATGGAATCAGCTGTATAAATTGATAGAAAACAAAATAGCAATAGAAATTTCTTATAATTTTATCTACTGTATCCATCTTTATCATATGTTTCTAATCGTTCGACCTTCGAAAAGCTTCACAAGATTCCTGAAAAATCCCAGTCACTGGATTCGGAAAATTTCAACAGAATAATGGATTTCTGAAGGACTGTTGGATTAATGACCGTTTACAGTATATAATCTCAGGAAATGAATCCCGTGCCCGTTTATTTTTTCCAACGAAAAGGGAATATCGAATAGAAGAATAAAAAACTTTATAAAAGGATAAACAAATGTAATAAAAATTATAAAAATGACCATTTATCCATCACAGAAAAAATCAACGCTTCCCTTAAAGTATTAAAGTAACTATTGCATCATTTATTTCCAGTAAAGTTGATAAGTCTTATTTCGTCCCAACAACGATAGGTCCTTGATCTACCAAATATGGGTAATTCTTTTTGAAGGCGGACAGGGATTTTTCTGACTTTATAATTGTACTCCTGGAATTATATTGTATATGTATTGTTCAAAAAATAGGGATCAAAAAATCGTATATAACATTTTTGTCGTTTTCAAAAAGAATCAGCCATATTTTGATGGTTTCCTATGATCACTTCCCACGATATTCTCGTTACAATGGCACTGTTCCAGCTTTTTATCCAATCTCTATAAAGAGATAATTTCTTTACTCAAAAATATCCAATTCCCGTGATGCTGTAAGTATACACTTACGATCGTCCGAAATATGATTAATATGATTTGATACACCAATTTCTGTCATTAAATTCCATATTGAACTCTCAGGCAAAATTTTGTTCAATAACTGAAATCGTATCTGCTTGTCTGTGGTGATCAATGAATAAAAGGTTGACATGACCATTCAAGCACGTAAGACACCATACTTTTGTTTCATGCGTAAAGTTGACACTGTAACAGTGATATCCTAGTTCTGGATTCAAATTAGATTCCAAAAATTCGTGGAAATCGGTAATCGTCTCGATTTAGACGATCCTTATTGGGTTGATCCGTATTATGCATTATTACAGTAGGTGCATTCAAATGGTATGCCATTGTATTAGTAATTTAATAGAGGTTTTTTATCAGATCCAATTGTTCTCGAGAAAGAGTTGATGGTACATAACCTTGGAGTTGCATTTACGAATTGATCGACTAGATTAATCGTTGGAAAGAGGCTCATTCAGAGTAGTTGATAATAAGTCAATACGGTTATGAAGAGAATACTGTAAAAAATGATATCTGTTATTTCTTTGCGATATCGTGTCGAGGGGCTTCATTTGTAGTGAAAATATAACCGTATAATACACAGAATGTGAACTTTTAGTATACAAGGGAATGTATGTCGCGTAGTTCAAAAATGTGTAGGCACTTGATTTTTAATTAATATAATACAATTGGAAAAACGATCCAGTTAAGGATATTATCCATATTGAAAGATCGAATAAAATTATAAAACGATAAGATATAAAAGTACACAAATTTCTACAAAAAGGTTATCTATTTTTTTACTTAAAATCTCTAAAAAAATATTATTATTTTTTGCAAACGCATTTTTTTTTTAAAAAAAAAAGCTAGTGGAAGCTAAAAGAGTGTACAAGAAGCCGCCCCAATAGCTAACAAAAATTATTTACTTTTAGGATTATTGTTGTGCTATTGGTTCTGCTTCTAAAGATAATGCCATTAATTCGGCTTCTAGTTCACCTCCATCTGACATCGCAATTGATGCCACATTACCACCAAAAATTGCCCCTGCTGCTTCAAATATTCTATTTTCTATGACTTCTCCGATATAATCTAGCAGTGTTGATGTTGTTTTTGAATCACCGATATTAGAATCGGAATTGTTGGAAATAATTTTGTCTTGAATGTTTTCCGTTGTTTTTGATGGTGTTGTTTGATATATTGATTTAAATGAATGTGAAGATAACTGATTTTCGAATGGATATGATTTCGACGTGTATCTTGTAATATTGTATACATTTTTTTTCAGTAAAAGGAATTTTTCGAAATTTATTAATGGTTGCGGTTCTTTAAATAAGGTGTTTGATGTGTCTGAATGCGGTTCGGATGTTGGTGTTGATGATCTTGCGGATAATTCTTGCGATTCGATGTTGTGTTCTAGGGTTGGTGTTGTTGACATGGATGACGTTCGAAATTGTTTTTCTCGTTTATGTCCAGTTGGAAGGAATGTGTTGTTACCTTCCATTATAAATGTTATATCTTTAAGGAAGGTTGCTATTTCAATTGTTTCAAAAAAACTTTAGCCCGTTATTTACAACCATAGTACGTAGTTACTGATCATCTTACCGAAAAATGGAACTATCGGCGGCGTAGCCTGCGCCAAAGTAGTCCTGTATTTTCGCATATTTCCAGAAGAATCTATGAGCTCCTCTATGCTTTGAAGATTTAGAAGTGCCTGATGAGACAACGTCTCCCAAGTTTTCTCGAGGCGACGCACCGGCCTTGAATTCAAGGCCAACGCGATGAACATCGCAGTGTGGAAATTGTTCCACTCGAGACAATACTTTAACAAGATTTGATAGAACAAAAGTATTACTTAGAGTTTCCTTTGGGAGTGCTCACGAGATTCTTAAGAACCAACCTTTGCGGCCTCAATAAACTTATGAAGAATGGTGCGCCTCGCCTTGACCGTTTTTAGACTACATATCTCATGCGCTATCCAATGACTTAGCTACATTAGAAATAGACAAACACCGTTAACTCCAATCTTTTGCTGTCAAGTACCTAGGAAAATTTTTTACAGTGTACTCTACCATGTTAGACCTCCTTGTAAAAGCGTCCAACCTGTTTTCTTCCAATCCAAATTGCTGATCCTGCATAGCGACATTTGGGCTTCCGTCGGTTTCAAAAGCTTGCCTCTTACGCCACCACACGGTTATAAAGTCAAAGAAGGTTATTGATTTCAACGCGTTAAAATCCATCAGCGTCAAATATTTTGCAATATTTTTTGAACTGAATTCCAAGAGCGGTGATGAATCGTAAAGCGTTGAGTTTTTTTGTAAAGATTTTTGAGGGTTTGCACTGAAATCTTTAGTGTTTTGTTGTTGTTGTAAAGGTAAAGATGATGGAATGTTTGGAATATCCGACTATAAAAGACGGAAGATGTGAGAATGATTTGGGTCGTGATTCCAATGAGGTCACGAGATGAGAATGTGACGTACCAACTTTTTCTGTATTTTCTCTGCGTCCGTTCGAAAACCGGCGTTCGAGACTCCATCCGTCAAGAATTCTTGCAATTTGTTGCGTAGTTCAGGTTCGATCTGAAAATTCTGAGGTTGAAGTGATATCCATCGGTCAAGAACAGTCAACACTCTAAGAGGATGAATGTAAAGAGATTGAACATATCATCAAACAAGTAATAAAAAAGAATCCAAAAAATCATAAATATTACATCTCTTCACCAAATTTTTTTCTGTTAAAAAAGAAAAAATCTTACTTTTGTTGAATAGAGGAAGTTTGTGCTTCTGTGTCCGTAGAAAGTGTCCCTTGATTGTTCGTGAATTTCATAATCATACTTTCTAAGAACTCCTTTGAACTTGTAAAAAATACGTGACTCAAGACGAAGCAATCTATAAATTCATTATCTTTAAGGAAATGAAATGAATTAATCGGTGATGGTTCATCGTTGTGTTTGCCTGCATCTATAATTCAAAGGTAATAAAAAAATTGTACCTTGTTCGTTTTCGTCCGCTAATCGAGATATTAAATTCTCGAGGGTGCTCGCCCGAATTTGCGGACTATTTTAAGAATGGAAGATCGTGAGCAAAAGAAAAAATAATTTTGTTTTTTTTTACACTTCTCCACATACAAACCTTCCGTCGACGTTATCTGTCAATAGTCCATCCTGACTGTATGTCGTATTGGTATTATTATTATTGTTGTTGTTGTTAACATCCGGAGAAAAGGAGTCGTTGTGTCCTTGCTGAAGAATATTACGTTTAGTGACTTTCGAAATTAGTTGGAAGCAACGAGAATGAACAGCTTTTACCTCGTGGAGACGTGTGAATACATTTGAAATCTTTATCATACTGCTCAGGCTGGATTTCTTCTTGACGCTCAAGTTGGTCGAACTTTAAGAAAGGTGTTTTAATAAAAAAGATGTTCACCTATTACCGTCCACCACTTTACCGTTTTATTCATTACCTCTTTTTGGTAACAATTTTCCTGAACAATTGTTCCCTAAGGTTGTTCGCATCGCTGACTTCCGTGGTCGATGGTACTATCACTTCTTCAGCATCCTCGCACGACTTCTCTGCGTGCGCCACTGAATTTGCATTTAATCGATCTCTTTCCGCCCACATCATCTGCAAACTCTTCAAATCTGTGTCGCTGTTATTCTTATGAACCTTGAGCTGCTTTCCTGATAACGTCGAGGTTCCATGCGTTGGTTTTTTCGACGTCGACTCGGATTCCTCGGTTACCGGCCAGTAGCTTGTTTTTTTACCTTTCGAAGAAACTGGAGACAGAGAACCTATGTGCTTCAAGAAATAGGACTTAATCTTAGAATGAGAATTTTTCCGAGGTCTTGTGTCCGTTGGTGAAACAATTTCATCAACTTTTTCCTCAAATTCATCATTTTTCGTCGGTCGGGTTTCCAAAGATGTTGTCGAATCCGATATTTTATGAGAATATACGAAGAGAGAGTTAGCTGATTCGGTAGAGCTATGCGATAGACGACGGCGTGTCGAAGCCATTCTGGATAGCATGGATGTTTTGAGAGAACGTGGTGACCGAGGTGTGTTCCAATCCATTGAATGTAAGTTGTCTTGGTTTCTGTTTCCCTCCAGAAAATGTGTAGAGAACTTCGACGGTGGATCGTCAATTTGTTCTCTAAATTTTGATTTTTTACTTGGGCTGGATAGAGGTTCGTGGTTCGGTATTAGAGGGCCACCGTAAGCCCGGCAGCTCGAACTAAGGCTGCTCACCGTACTTGGGGAAGAAATGTCGGTCTGAAAAACATTGGAATTATGACTCGTGTCTATGGAGAGAAATGAACTTTTTCGTCGAAGGCGGGTTCGAGGCATTATTGGCTGATCAGACCTGCGCAACGATGAGCCTTCAGAGAATGCTATCTTTCTGGTTCTCATATACATTGCCGGTGCCGTAACGACGGAAGCGTTTGACGCAAGCGAGCCGACGCTACTCGAATCTCTACTTTCATTCCTCTACATACAAGTTAAATACCCAAATTCAAAAAAGAATATTTTGGAAGGAACATGAAGAAAAGAATATACCGTACCGTTTTTCTGTTGTGCCTTAAGGCATCAGCGCTTGTTTGATGGAGTGAAAACAAAGGTCGCCCACGCTCAAACGTCAAACTGCTACGTCCGCTCAAATGTCCAGAATGATCAGAATCTTCGGAGGCCGAATTTTTACTCTTGGACTTTTTACTCTTCGAGCCTAAGGAGCTTCGCCTGAACGAGCTTAGACTTCGCATTACCTTCTTTTTAACTAAAAAAACGGAGAATGCAAAAAAAAGTTTGCCACTCAAGTTTCACGAGATTATACTAAAAAAGAAAAGGGTCGCAAAGAAACTTACATGTGTTCTTTTTCCTAGGGATTGGAATGAGAAAAGGATTAAAGAGAAAGAACAAAGAATTAGCGTATGAATGTCGTTTGAAACGTCGTTCCTTTTACATACTTTTGATAAACTTTCTCTTCGGGAGTCAACGGATCATTCTCTCGGACATCCAACGGTGCCATTCCTAGAGCTGGTTTTATTGTTTCATGATTTTTAAAATTTGCATGGAAATTAACGTGGAATGCATAACCAATTGACAAAGGACTCACGTTCTTCATGAAGTATGGGCAGATGCACATGAACGAAATTTACCAGCAGATTGAGTGAATCCACAAGGCGATTCGAGTGTACAACCAACTTGTCGTATATAGACTGTAAATGATAGTTTAGACCATGGTTTATCCAAGATTCACGTGAGTAACGTTAAGACGGACACATCTTCCTTATATACCTGACCATGTATCGACAACTCTTCGGCTTTGCCCTGCGTGGTAATTTTCCTAACATACCTCAACACTGCGTCCGCTTCATTCGAGATTCTTTCGTGTAACGAGCGATAACTATCCAACATCGAGGATTCCGTGAAGCTGTTCATCAGTGCATCATTGTGCATCGACAAAATGGTTCCGATCACGGTGGTCAAAAGGGTAGAAGCACTCAAAACCTTAACTAAAGAAGAATTTTTCGATTGTGACATCGAGAGATTCGAACAAAAGGTGGAAGTGGATAGATGACTGCGGATGGAATAATGGGAATTTCTACGTTGCTGATCGTGTGGATTCTCTAGTATAACCGAAAGTGTATTGAGGGGAGAGAATAAGTTTGACGTGTTTTCTTCTTCGTAATGTTCTTCTTGGATAATTAAAGAGGAGGGACGAGACGATAAATTATCTTGGACACCAGAAAATCTGGTGAAATAATCTTCACCCTCTCCTCTTGGTGTTGTTGACTTTGGAGTATTGACTAGTAACAACCTCGGTGCCATTATTAATAATGACATGATGGCAGCTTCTAATGTTGTAAAGGGGTTCTGAGAAGGGAAGGTAAAGGTAAACAAGTCATTCTTCCAACACCACGTGAAGAACAAGCAATTTCATTGACATACAGTACCTGCCATTCACCATTTACCATCTTTTGATCAAATATCAAAGATTTCTCGGTGTTCTGGAGAGCTCTTAACTTGTCCAACACGGATTTCACGTCCTCAGGTAGATGAAGATATAAAAGTTCACTGGCGTCATGTAACTGCTGATGGATGTCATTTGTAGAATAAGCGTGTGACGAACTCAAACTTGGAGGTTTGCTTATCGTATCGGTCGTCCGGAAGGAACTATTTGTCCCGTCAACATCGTGCGTTTTATCAACCTTGCTTTTGATCGATGATTGCTCATTGTTATTATTTGAGGAAGAAAGGATTGGTCGTGGCGCAATACGCGACGATATATTGGCATTCTTTTTGTTAGATGATGCATTGTTAGAGGTGGTATCGAGAGAAAACAAATTTTTGACACTTTTCCAAGCCATAAATGATTGACAATGGGTGCTTGCTAGTAAAAATGAGGAAATAATCGAAAATGGTCAGAGGTGATTAAAATAAAAAAACATCCACTAGAATAATTACGGTCCACCCTGATAATTTTGGGTAGATTATATGTAATTTTCTATAAGTGGTTTCGTAGAATGGAAACAATTTAGTCCAAAAAAAAGGTGGAAATTTTTAACGAGAATGATTTAAAATAAATGTTCACGGTCCCTTTAAAAATTTCTATTGTTTTATATGTAAATATTAAAGGGAGACTAAAGAAGGAGTAGGTATATATATAATTTGATGAGGATGCAGGAATTAATTCCTTGATATATTATATGCTGTTGAAGGATGACAGGGGGAACAAAGAGAGTTTGGTGGTGGTATTGTGTGCCGTTGCAATTAAGAAAAGAATCGAGAATGAAAAGGATGGTCGGTATATTATTTTTTTAAGTCTTAATGATAGTGCGTGAATTTATTAAATAAAATAAATTTGATGTTAGTTCGAGTGTGATGAGAAGAGAAAATATTAAGAAAATAAACAGAAAATAATAATTAATCTTTCTTAAACTGGATGAGTTTTAAGAACATCAAATGCGAAGAGTAGTGGCATATATAAAAAAAAAAAATGTTGAAGACAGATTAATTAATATGATCATGTATATTTATGCTGTATTTTGGGGTAGGAAAGGAAGAAGAAAACTAATGATATGTAATGTATGAGGGAGGATGTTATCGCGGAGAGGGAGAATTAGGAAAGAACGAAAAATAAAGAACGAGCATTAAGGGTTTACTAAAAGTTCCTTGATCCTAACATGAAGCAGGCTAGAAGGATTCTTTTTTTCTTGATACTATAACGGTAGGAATCAATCAGCCAATTTATTGAAATTTTACGGGATTTTTTTGAAAAAATGTGCGAATAAGCGGGAGAAAGGGAGTTTTTATAAAGTTTTTTTATTTTTATATTTAGGAGCTGAAAAAGTGCGCAAAATTCTATAATAATTCGCCACGCAACTTTATGCCATTATTGTCCGTCGCTTGATACAATTAATGTCCGTTAGTTTATTGATTCATATTTAACTCTATTGAATATCTCGTTTGAACTTCGTCTATTCAAGCTAACGTTAAACAAAACATGTGATTACTATACAAATAATAGATCCGGGAAACAAACAATATATGTATGGATATGTGGTAATAAGAATGATGGTGAATTCGCAAAGGATGTAATTATTAAATCACATCCGAAGGTCCGTTGACGCAGAAAGACGCTGGAAATCGTGCTGGGAACATGAATTGAAAACTATGAAATCGAGAATTGTAAACGGCAAAGCTGAAAATGGAGAAAAGCGAAAAGAGCGTCGGAAAAAAAAAATGAACATAAAAGTAATGTATTACATGTCACTCACTAAATTGGGTAAAAAATAAGTCTTCAACGTTAATAAAGAGGAGAATGTAACTGCATTTCGACAGCAATGTCAAGTTTGCGGGATGAGTATTTCCGGTAATCAATTGACTGCTGGATTTTAATTTAATCTTACTTTTTTAAAAAGGTATGAACCGCGTTCACCATTCAGCATTTTTTTTGTGCACTGGATTCGATCATGAAATTATCAATGAATTCTTATAGAATAACGCGACTGTATGATAGAATGCACGTAATTTAATAAAGATTAAACATAACAAAGAATCGATAATCTCCTTGGATATCACTGGATATCAATACCCAATGAAAATAATTAGTGGTTACTGTACATTACCAGGTGCGTGTGCGTGAATAAATTAAAATGGTCGACATTTAGTACTCCGACAAGTGAGATATTTGGATATGCTATCCCAATAACTTCGATGCAAGTCTTTTTTTGGTGAAGGGCGCGATGCGCAAAATGTTTTTTCAAAGTGTAAAGAATGAAAGCAGAAGAACGACGTACCAAATTGTTCAATGAATATTTCTTTGTACTGTATTTATCAACCTGGTATCACCAAACTCCTTTCCTTGAATCGCCATTGAGAAATTAACGGCTTGATCCTGCTTGCATACATGCGTTCAAGTGTCAAAAAGATCAGAATACTTTTTTTTATTCATGATGAAGCATAACACCATCTGACACTTGTCAATTTTGGAATTACTCAAATTTTTCACCGGGACAGGATTCTAATAACTTGCCGGAAATTGATCGTAGAATATACAGGATGTTCAAGAGACACACAATTGTCCATTATGTATCCCGGTGTACATTGAATCATTGTTAATGATTGCTTGTTATTAATGTGGCTAATTCTCGAAAGAATGCTCTGGGATGAAAATCGGCGAACTTTATCGAGTTAACATATACACTAATCAATTATGCTTTGTTGGATTTATTTAATTGTAAAAGCGTGCGTGAGAGTTTACCCATAAATCACATTCCATAAAGGTTCGTATTATTGTTTCACAATGATTGTAGGTGCGCAAATTCTACGCACGACGTTTCCTCTCTCTTTTTTTATTCTCTAATGGGGATATCTATTTAAGTTGTCTGAATACTGACCATTTATACGTATGCAACTAACAGAATAATAAACGCATCATGTACTGTATATTGACATTAAAGTATTTTTGCTTTATTATCTACTAATTTCTTAATATATTGCCTCAGCAACCCATTGCTTGATTAAATTTTCCATAATACTTATTATCTATTGTTTATTATTCTTTTGCAAGCATATTTATTTCGAGAAAATCGAAATACTAAAAATAACGGGAAGTACACAAGCTATTATTAACTTAGTCTCCTATTATTAAATGTTTTTTTTTTTAATAATATAATTTTCTTTTGGAATTACATTTAAAATTGTAACAATAAATCTTACGTAAATAATCATCTTACAAGTACTGTACGTAGTAAACTCGGATTATAAATAACATACTGTAAATGTATTTGTAGTACAGATTACTGTATATAATATATTAACAAAAATCAAATTTGCTTGATTAATATTGGTTTCTGTTTATTCTAAGAGAAATTTGAATAATACAAAAATTAATTAAAAATATTATTTTATAAAAAAAATTTTTTTGTTAGAAGTATAACTATAAATAGAAATTTCTAATAAATAATAAAAAGATAACTATATTATATCTTAATTTAAAATCTTATTTTAAATTTATTTAAATTCATTATTAATATTAAAATAAAAATATATATTAATTATAATATGAAAATAATCCATGTAATTGATAACAATGTTTTGTCTTGTTTCACTTCATTGTTAACAATAAATGATTCAATTGGGCCAAATAGTAAATTAATAAATAGGAATCAAAGGTTTAAACTAAAAATTAATTGATCTATAAATTAGTTATAATTTAAATCAATTTGGTTTTTAAAATTTTTAATCTGATAAGATTGGGATTGGTTTGATTTTGAAATTTTTTAATCTAATCAGATTAAATTAGTTCAGTTTTAGGGCTCCTAATGATACCACTTCGATACCACTTTGATACCAGTTCAATACTTAAATTTACTATAAAAACATATGAGTAGGTCATAACCCATATATTAAATTTACTATAGATCGGTACCATTTC